CCCCCTCCAAAATTATAAATAAATTATTCAATTGTTTCGTAATATATTAATAAACTTTTTTAAAATTCAACTATAACTCTTAATTTTTGTTTTTTAATTAGGTATAGACAGTATATTATTGTGAAGAATTAAACTTGAAAATAAGAAATTTCTTTTTTTTATAGTTTTTATATTTTCAAGTTAATATTTTTATAGTGGTGTGTGGGCAACGCCCTCACGGGTTACTTTTCGTTTAATATCAGCTGGTGATGACTACAGAATAAAACCTACATTTAAGCAATAGTTGCCCAACTGTTTATTAATTATTAAGATATATATATATTGTAATTTTTTTTAGTAGACATTAAATATTATTTTTTTTTGTGTGTCTTTGAATTAGTTTAATTATTTAAAAGCATTTTAAATTTTAATTATTTACGCGCTAATAAGTCATAACTTATATAATAATTAAAATGTCATAAAGTAGCCAACGTACTTCGCTACGTAGTACGCGTTGGCTACTTCATGAAATCAATACAGATCCGCATCATTTTTTTATTAGGCTATAAGCCCACCCACTAGACCCCCCCCCATCCCCCAATAGCGCCTATGATGTTACCTCGCGTGGGTCAAAGATGGAAACAAATAGTGCACTGACATCCCAACCGGCAACCAACCGATCTTTTTATTCTATCCCATAAGTCTAGGTTGTAAACCTACCGCCGGTAGTTTCAGCCAAAGAGTCGAGTGGCCTTTGCAATTCGAGATCCTTTCCTACGTATTCGGTATTGTCAACCTAACTATTCTACCTTCACACTTTTTCTTCCCCCTTCTCACACAACTATACAGGTTCAGCCACCCTCTTTTCCTGCACCTCCATAATATCATCTGTTCTACCCATCACTTATTCAGTCTTCTCACCTCTCACTTTCCCCCTACATTTACCTACATCTATTAGCTTCTCTCACTACCTCTTATCATACAGTGACCGAACCACCTCAACCTAGTCTCTCTTGTTTACACTTAAATATATTATATGTCACTCCTATTCATTAATATCTTATTCTATCCTCTTTTGTCCCTTTCACACTCAACTTGACATTCTCATATCTGCTACTCTCACTCCACTTACCTACCCTAACCTTACATTTCTTTTTAACATTTCCCTTTCATACGCCAAACACTCTGAAATCCTAATGACCTCTTTCCTTATCTTCGCCACATCATACACTTCCTAATTCCTATTCACTCAGTCTCTAGTTACCTACAAGTCATCGTACTTGATTATCGGTGAAAATATTTAAATAATTGAACGAATTATCTACTCAAAAGAATTAGTACTTACATACCAAAAAAGATCATACCTGACCAATTTCCTAATTTTTATCACGACTTTATTGATAGCCAGAATAGTGTTATACCAGTATAGTAGGTAACAATACAAATAATTGAAAAGTTTCGGGCAATACAACCCTGATCGATTAACTATAATAAAAAGAAAGCTACTGAAAAAGAAAAAAATACATACCCCGTGTCCGAATCAAAATCTGCTATAAAACTTAGTCTTCGAAATACTACAACGTTCACACATTTCAGTCTGCTTATGATATATTATTCCCAGTTGACAAAGCTTCACTGACGAATTAAATACCATTTCTGAAAAAACACCCAGCCTGCAGTAAAATGTTCAACAATATTCTTATGACCTAAGCGTTACAGATATTATATTTTATATGTATAATGTTTAATCTGTATTATACCTAATAGAGCGTTTTTTAGAGCGGACTACGGGAGCAATGAATGTTTTGATTTTACAATAATGTGTATATGATTCTCGTAAAACCATTTTCTTATTTTGTTGTTATTCAACAACTATTAACCGTCGATATTTAAAATGTCCATCCAATGTTTAAACTATCATTTTCTATACATTATAAAATGTTCAAAATATTTTGACTCGTTTTCAGTGATTTATTAAAGACATTTGAGTTATGAAACGTTTTTAGTTCTGTATTCTATAAATGTCATTAAAATTTTATCCGTCGGGTCAAAAAACTTAAAAATGATGGGTACAAAGTTCCTCGTAAGTTGATATAATAGAAGTTAAAAAATATTAGAAATACATAAGCACGTTTTGTTTTATAGGCATTTAAAGTTCAAATTTCTACAAAATTTATCACAATCTACGAGTCCTATGATATAGATATTAGGAGAGCAATAGAAGTTGAGTACCTATGTTACACTAAGTTAATAGTTACCCATAACTTATAACGTTGGATTTGAAAAAAAATGACCAGTTATAAATTAAAATTGTATTTTATGACTATTATCAGTTAAAACATATATTTCTATAAATGAAACCAAAACATATGTATTTTTCAAGTAAACAAATTTCATATTCACCTATTAATTACAATTATTCTACGACCGGGGACTGGAAAAACAATTTATAAAATATGCGTATACAATAACACATTTTTCGTGACATTAAATATTTATCTTAATTCTTAAAAGTAAATTTAAGCCCCAAAAGAATATGAAAACAAATTTACTTTAAACATCGATTCTTTCGGCTGAATCCGTTACGTGTGTTCACTGCGAGGCTGACGAGGAAAAACTCCATAATATACAGAACTTAAAATATTGTGATTGATGAAGAATAAAATTATACGGAACGCAGTAAGTTTTTTGCTCATATCGGCTTTGCTTATTGAAATTTTGGAATTTTTAATGACGACTGTGTCCTCTACAATGGATTTGAGATTTGCCATGGAATATAAATGATAGATACTATACTAGGTACGTGAATAAGATGAATCCACGGATATCATATAGGTAACGCAACTTTTTATGTCAAAGAGTTCCGTGCTAAGGAACAATATTTGTTCGTTGAAATTTTATATTATGACAAAAATCAAAACAGTTTATAATTTTGAATTTCAATTATAATTTTCGTTTCTTAATTTAATTATTTATTAATATGGTGAATATATATCAGAAGTACAAGCATATTTTTATAAAAGCATAAAATTGTATTTTAAAAATCATTAAATGAAAATGTGATTCCTGGATTTTAGAGTTAACATAAAGATATACAGTACCTAAGTACATTAAATTTACAGTACCTACCATGATACCAACGAGATTGAACTTGATTTTACTATGATGTGTATTTAATTTTTACATTTTTTTGTTATTATTTCTTTTTTGTGTTTGATGCGTACACGATAAGTAGGTAGTCAAAATAAACCTTCGTGTTCCATGCATAATATAATTTATAGGTACTCTGTATGTAATTAATGATCATAGTTTTATTTTTAAGTTTCTTTGTATTTAGTAAATAATAATATAGGAAATTGTATTTTCGAACATTAATTTTTTGTTTGTATTAAATACTTTCACCATAATAGGGAACTAAAATTGTCATTTATCGTTAAAACAACAAATTTTGTGAAAAATTCAATTTTGGTAGGTAAGTGTTTTGTGTAGGCATAATAAATGTTACATTAAAATTTAAAAAATTCAAAGAATTACATTAATTGGATTATAAATTAGAATATAGGTACTACAGTTTCCAGCTTCTACTACAACATTACGTTATATTATGTAAATCCCAAAATAATATGAAAACAAACTTACGCTGAAACATCGACTCTCCCGGTGAAACCTAGCTAGAGTGCATCATCAACAATGCAAACGTCCAGTACGTAACGCCACCGAAGAAACAGCTATCTTCATCTCATTCCGAACTGTAACTTGAAATTATCGAAATATTTAATGAAAATTACCTGAACATAACGAAATGTAGGAATTCGTGTTAAAACTTACATAATAATATATACGGCTTAACGAACTATCTGTCCATATTGATGGCTTATTATTTTTTTTTTCACTAAAATTATTAGAATTGTTAATCGTCGCGGACGAATGTCGACAATTGGCGATTGCCATAGATGATATAAAATATATTTTTTAATATGATAAATCCATAGAACTTCTACACTCAGCACATAAACGGTCTATTGATAAATCGTGTGTTATTTTACAGAAATGATTGTGGTCTGCAATGTATTCTTGTTTTCTATTTCAGTTATTTATCGCATACTAAATTTAACCAAACAAATTAGTCCGCAAATTTATAGACATCACAAATATATAATATAAATTATAATTTACAGTAGTTTATATCTGGGATAGACATTCTAATATCTAATGCATTCTCCCGCCAGAGGCCATACTCCATAGACCCAGTTCAGGGGAAGTTAAATTTTTACCTACAAATTTATAAAAAAAAAGTGGTTGGGACAAGGAACTTTATGAATTTTAAACTGATAAATAATTTACAAAATAATTGTCTCATGACTATAAATAGCTCAAAAAGAGTCAAAATAGTTTGAAAATTTTACCATGTATGGAAAATTCAAGTATAAATATTTTTTACTTTTTTTGTTACAGGTGGAAAAACTTATGTAACTTCTTCTATTTAACTTACCCTACCAATAATATCAGTAATATCACTATAAAAATAATTAAAAGTGATAATTTGAAGACAATTTCTTAAAACCCTAGAATATTTTTTTAATTTAGTGTCTAAACCATATAGTTTAGCACCCAAGCAAATTTTTCAATTTTTTTTTTTTGGAAACCTATGATTTGCAACCAGTTATAAGATTTATGATGCAAAAATTAACTCACGGAAATCATAAGTTGTTATCGCATAGCCTTACGAAGTTCACGATTTTCGGTGTTTTACTCACCCGTACAACGCTTAAAGTTTACCGAGTTTAAGTAGGTATAACAAATAACAATTTTTTTAACCTAGTTAAATCAACGTCTTCAGAATGATGGTGCAAAAATAATTCATGACAAGTTTTACAAAACAAGTCGAGGGATGTTAGTGTGATGTACTCATCATCAACATTAATTATCATTAAAATACCTGTATATAATGGAAAAAACAAGAATGCTGATCTGCATTTGGATAAACAGATTTAAAATTATTCAGCAACCCAGATTCAAAATCAGTCATTATATTCGCTATATGTATATGCCTCTTCAGTCTTCGATTCCATCAATACATAAACAATCGGTATGGACTAATAAAATATTAGAAATGATTAATGCATACCTACTTAAAAATGGTTAGTTTTAATTAACAAAACTCACGTGGTTTTGGTATATTAAATGCATGATAAAAAGTTGACGGCTTGGTGGAGTTGAAGGCACAACTTTAAAAGTTGCGTCGGCATGCAACTCATCACTCCCAAGCATAACAATTTTCCTAATAAGTTCACTGCATGCAAAAATTATTGAACATTTCCCGTGTGTATCTGTAACCTTATCTTGGAAGAAGGGCTGTTGACAACATGTATAACGTTGCACATTGAAATCTAGGAAGTTTGCCAATTCGCTCAATGATGATGGTAAAACTGGCATAGTGGTTCTCCTAACTTTTCTCATCGAGATTTTAGCCACTGGCCATGAGTATATGGTTGCAGCAGCTGAATTTCTAATAAAATATATTTTAAATATGTAATATCATTTGAAAAGTTTAATCTTAATTAATTTCATTTTACACTTTTAGATCAATATTTTAATTTGTTTATTTGATGTATTTTCTTTATATGAGGGGTGCACATAAGTCATAAATACAACACATTTGTCCTAATATTATAAATAGGTACCAAGGCATAATTTTATTATTGTAATATTTTTTATTAGTATGTCTAAAACAAATAAATAAAGCATAAAACATTAAATATGTTTAACAAGAAATTATATCAATACCTATTATGTACATAATAAAATATAATTACAGGCCAGAGCCCATAATGAAATTGTCAATATTTTTTTAGAAAGAATTAAAAAATTAATTTTACATAATTATAAAATTAAACGCACAATTTTTATATTTTGTATTTTATGTCATAATTATAACCACCCAGCTCCCTAAAATATATTTATAGTATTATGGCTATGTTAGTCTTGCTAGCTTGAATAAATTGACAACATTTGCCCATAGTAAAAATAATTTGTATATACACCACTGACTGTAGGTATATATTGTTAAATAGTTTTTGTCTAATACTGCTAACTAAAGATTTACCACCACCGACTTATGTATGGCAAATAATTATTATATCAAATTACAACTTTTCCAGATAAAAAAGAACAATCTTCTTTGCTCAAATAATCTTTGGGATGATATAAATTATATAAATTATAACTTATCAGTAATATTTAGTTTCATGTTTACCTAATCATTTCTTCATCATATATTGTCCGGAGTCTGGTTGTCTCGTTTTTAGAACGGTCTTTCAGTATTTGCCTAAATGCTTTTTTTAAAATGTGATTGTGGTCTTGTTCATCAGGGTCATGCGTATATTATGTTTCTCCAACTCAACAATTGTCCCATTCGCAAACATTTTAGCAGAGCCTTCGCAATATTTGGTTTTGCAGATCAAATATCTGTGTAATATTAAAATATAAAATCATAACAATTGAATACAATATTATGATGATTTAGTTTTTATTTTATTTAAACTTACCGAACACTCTTATTTTTATGGATGCCTCCATTATTTTTATATACAAAACCTTTGTGATCTATATTCAATTAATTTAAAACACAATATATAGATATAAAAGTTAACAAACTGAATAAAATATAAACTAATTAAAACAGTTACAGCAACTAATAACTACTTATTCAGATATAATAGGACTGAATAATATCCTTTATTGAGTAGTTCATTGGTGCTCAGATGAGTGACTTTATGTGGGTTTGAAGATTAACAAATTCCAGAAACTTATAAAGTGCTTTTTGTGTTTTGTATGTTTTGGGAAACCAGACTTTCAATAAAATGTTTCTTTCTTAATGACCATTAGCGTAATTCAATTAAATTTCAGCAGGTGCACAACTTTTATTGGTCCAATTTTCATAAAGACAAATTAAAATGCTCATATTTAAAACTGTTTTGCTTACATAGTTGCATACAATACTATATGGACTAGGTATCTTTTTATATTTGATAATAATATAACACATAATATAAAATATAAAATTAAAATATCAAAATCTGTAGGTATATTTTAAACCTGGGCTTGAAAGTTGAAACCGATATTGGATACTGATTTTGAATAATAGTTGAAACCGTGAAAACCCGAAATCGATATCAAAACTGAAAACGAAATCAAAAACACCAGTTAGGAAATCGGAAAAAAATAAATAGGTACCGATATCCAAAATCTAAATCCAAATCCCAAAATTTAGTCTTTATAATATTATTATATATTATGATACATTGGTACAGTGACACACCTTTCAGCTACCTATATAATGAATTAGAGATCACGAAATTATTATACAAGTTATAGCATTAAGTATTTTATTATTTGTACAAGTTACCTATGTGTAAATATGTTATAGCTTTTATAAGAAAATTCGAAAAATCAATAAGTATATAATATAATATGTATGATGTATTTCATATTATGAAATAGTACCGATTGTAATTTAATAGGTATAAAGTTCAGCTTCTGCGGGTGCAAAAGAACATCTTTGCACCTCCTACATAATACAAGGGGGTTATTAATAATGACAACAACATGTAAGACAATATAATATTTTTTCGAAATTTTTTATACTTTTCATCAATTAAAAATATTTACACACATTTTATAATTTTCGTCTTATTAATATATAATTTATATCCACCCCAGAAACTTTTTTCAAAAAAATTGCTGTAATTAAATTCTCGTAAGGATTTAACTATAAAATATTTTAAGATTATAAAATAAAAAAAAGGTAGGCAAGTTGATGTCGCTCTGCTGTACTGTAGGTTACAGGTGGGCCACTGTATAATGTATGGTATTAAAATATTAAATTTGAATTCAATGATATAATATCATTGGAAAAGAAAAACGATTCTGAGCGGAGACGATATGTCAGTCTAGGTATTAGACATAAATAATAAAAAATTGATCTATAATAAATTCCAAAATAATCATATCACAATATTCATTACTCATTAGGTACTTACAAGTTATATAACGCGTTATACATCAACAACAAACCGTGATACTATCATATATATAATAATTATAATAGTATACTTTAGAAGTTTCAAGTACCCAGTACCCACCAGGGGCTTAATTAGGGGGATAGATCCCCCCAAAACTTGTTTTTTAATTCTTTAATTTTTGATCAAAGTATTGATAATGACCATTCATCAGGGCTGTATTTACCATTTTGCCGCCGCGGGGCACAACATTTTTTTCTGCCCTTTATAGACACATTTTAATATTTTACTAATATAGCGTTAATTGGGAGAAAAATAAAATTATTATGCTAAAATATACAAATATTAACACAGAATAATGAATATAAAATAATATTCTATATGATTAACTATGAACTTTATTATATTAATATTAGTAACAATTACATTTTTCTACGAGCTTTTAACTCACTAAACTTATTTATAATATCATCATAATTTATATTAACTGTTAATTCTGACTATATTTAGTATTGCTAGATCATTCAGACGATCATCTTTGGTACTAGATCTTAAGTAAGTTTTAATCCTCTTCAAAGCACTAAAACTTCTCTCTGCTGAGCAGTTTGAAGCTGGACAACATAAAAACATTCTTAAAGCAATGCTAATATATGGAAAGACATCTTGGAAATCACTTTCTATTATTTTCTGCAACATTCCTAAAATGGTTTTAGGAGCATTGTCTTTTGGTAAAGTTAGTAAGTAGCTCTGAAAATGAATATATTCATTTGAGAATGATACAGGAAGATCTTTAGAGTAATATTTTTGTAAAACTGCTGATTGATGTCTGAATGGCATTCATGTTTGCTAAAAACGTATATCCCCCCAACCAAATTCCTAATTACGCCACTGGTACCCACAAATAATATTATACAATCACAAAAAAATAACTAAAATAGTTATTCTAGGGTTTTTTAATATGTAATATCGTCCAAATTTGAACTTAAAATAACTATAAAAATAATCAGTGCATATATATTTTTTAGATTTTTTGATAACAGAATTAACTACTTACGTGGAATCTTGTTGGACATTTTCAATCCTTCGGTATAAAAGTTGAACATTTTCTATATTTTTTACAACAAAATAATTATTCAATTTTAAATTTTAAATTTGATAAAGGTTGTCAAAATTCGATCTTTAAAGAGGATGTTAGCGCCACAGATATATATAATAACTAGATACCCGACTCCATATACCACAACGTTATTAAATTATGATGCCCGACGCCATTTGTGACTATGGCAATGTTTACAAATTCTTATCATTTTTTAATCGTTTTGATATCATACATTGTGATACAAATATTTCATAACAATATACTCATAATATAATTATTTTTTCATAAACTTAATATTATTACAAGTATTCTTATACAGTTATACATAATTATACCATAATTGATGGATGAACCAGTTAAGTTACACTCATTTTACATTTTACGATTTACTGTAAGCCTAAAAATATAAGTTTAAATCAAAGAATCAGTGAAGTGAATATGAATTAATGGACTTGACTATAAGCTGCCTATTTCAAAATGTGGTTCAACTGATTTTGACCAGCGACTTCACTCTTTATGATCATAGAGATATGTCATCAATCGTAGTTTATTTTGAACAGCTAGGAAGATCGAAAATGAAATACTGGATAGAGGCGAGGGAGAAGAAGCATAGTCTAAATTAAATGTAATGACAGTGAAAAATTTACATAATTAAACACAGGTAAATATAGGTGTATTAAATGTAATGAGTCAAATACTCAAATACCTACAATAATCGTCGAAAAAGGGTCAGTACCACAGTAGTCAGTAAGTTGGGCAACAGACTTGTTTGATATGAACTATTGTTATCATTGTAAACATTGCCATAGTTGTAAATGGCTGCCAGCGTCATTGATAAGAAGAAGTCGGGTATCTAGTTATTATATATATCTGTGGTTAGCGCACTATTTGTTTTCTCTCTCTGGCCCACGCGCAGCATAGATGAAACGCATGAACGCAGAATCATTTTTTCTATGTTTTAAAGTAATCTTAGAGTAAAATTAACCATTACAAAGAAGATAGAGAATAATATTTTTGAGGGAATGTCATATCTATTTTATATTTTATTGTTATTTGACTTTGTATTCGACTTTCAAAATATGTTTGAATTGTTTTCAGAAAATATTTAGACAAATCGATATGACATTCCCTCAAAAATATTATTCTCTGTCTTTTTTATAATGGGTGATTTTACTCTAGGATTACTTAAAAACATAGAAAAATGTTTCTGCGTAAATGCGTTTCATCTATGTTGCGCGTGGGTCAGAGAGAGAAAACAAATAGTGTGCTGGCATCCTCTTAATGCTTACAAAAAACTTGTGCCTATCTATTTTTAATATTTTTCAACTGCTATTGTAACAATATATCAGAAGCCCTGTATTACATTTTTACACTTTTTTACCTAACAAATAAAGTTTTATTGACATTCATAGAAAAAAAACCTAAAAAGTTGGAAACTGAGTAAATCCTTTAACAGCTCAAAACAAATCAACATCTTTTCATGTATAGAAAAGGCTAATATGTAGTCAGTCATTCAACTTGAGTAAAAAATTAAAATTCTATCTTAAACCGTGATTCAAACCAGTAATTTTTATTTTTATTTTATATAATTTCCCGTTTTTTACGGCCCTCCTCATCAGTCCACTTTGATATCACCGATACCACCGATACCACGGCGCGTGATGGATTTCATGTAGATAACAATATCAATTCGTGTAGATAACAATATCAATTGATAAGGAATAAAGTAAACCACGGACTAAGATATAATATTATATCTTAGTCCGTGAAGTAAACTAATTCGCTCCGAACTTCATGTATATGACACGCAATTTTAAAATCGTGTGGACTGGTAAAATAATAACAACATGACATTAGTGATTAGTGATATTACATTAATGATAATGTGCCGATGTGTCGTGCGTATTTTGTAGGCGTTCGACTTTGATCTACGGATTGGGTGAAAGTGGTTCGTTAAAACGGCGAAATGTCTCCGAACGTGCAGCTGTGAGCATCGGTTTTTTAACCCTTAGTAGATTGCAGCGTTCATAGGAGATTCACACCGCTGTCGCCACAGTTATGATCGTTGGCCGCCAGAAGAGGACAGCCGTCCGCCGGTTGTCGCCGCCGACGTTTGGCCTGTGCTGTGCCGTCGCTCTATTTTTCACGATGTTGGACGACGCTAGTGGACAGGCTCAGCCAATGCCTGCTCAAGAACAGCAGCTACCACCGGCTCAGCCGACGGCGCCGTGGTACGAGACGTTGCCGGCCGTTGCGATGGATTACAAAGTGATCATCGACCCGGGCAAAGAGGATTGTTATTTTCAATTTGTCAACCCAGGAGCAACATTCTACGCAAGCGCTCAGGTGCGAATAACAAGCTGTTGAAATTATTTTTGACTGCTTCGGGGCTGGTCAAATACCTAATAACTACGTTGCTTTTGACAGGTGCTGAGAGGCGGTGACGGGATGGCTGGTTTTGCCGTCAGGCATCCCAACGGGCAGATTGTTCACCCTTACCAGTGGAAAGCCAGTTCCGATTACCAAGACCAAGAGTCCACAGGAGGCTATTACAGTGTTTGTATAGATAATCAGTTTTCCAAATTTGCTGCCAAATTAGTAAATTTGTACATCACAGTCATTAGGTTAGTATTATAAACATTCAGTTTAAAACATTAGGAAAAATGTATATTAGTGAAGAGTTTGTACACATTTAAATGATTTTTGTTTTTTTTTTCAGGTATGATAAATGGGATGAATACCACAAAGAAATTGAAGACATGAATGTCGGCGTTGAAAATTTTACAGTGAGTCTTATAAATAACATCTTGGTATTTAATAAATCGCTAAAAATTAATTTGATAAACCATAAGCCATAGTATATACATTTCAATGCTATTAAAGAGCCTCTAAACTATAATATTGAAAATGCAATACTTAAAAGCAAAATACTGTAAAATTTTGTATAAGATAGGTACAGTCAAATCTATTTGTTCAACAAAAGGTATAAAATTAAATTTTTTTTTTTGTATTTAAATAAGTATACTATAAAACACCAAATCAGTGGATTCCTACTAGAATAATAAAAATAATTTAAACATTTTTAAATTTTAAATAAATAAAATAATAATTATTGTGGTGTGTTATACCGACTTCAAAATTATAACCAATATCTGTGGGCAGTATTAGACCTATATCTAAGATGCTATTCCTAGCTAAAAAATTATCTAAAACCAACTGATAAGATTCTATAATGGGTTGCTATATGTAACGTCCTCTAAAGAGTTGTGGCTATGCAAAAATGGTCGTTGATTGTAAGTTAATAATTATTTTGTATAGAACATTGTGCTGAATCTGACTGCTATATTGTGTCCTTAGTACTTAAATTGAATGCTGTTTATATTAATTGTACAATGGGATATATATTTATTAAAAGATTCAAGTGAAAATATACATAGAGGTGTAACAAAAAAAGTTCTCTTAATTTCCCTGCTATTGTGAGAATATCAATTTTGAATACTGGACCTATGATTTCAACACCTGAGCATCCAGTTTAATCAGTTAAAAGTAAGTACACAATTCAGTAGTTACAGTCAGTACAATGTTTTATAAATAATCAGCTTTATGTTAACCTAAAATAATAAAATCAACACAACGTGGCGTAGGGAAGAATTTTGTATGGGGAAGAGGGGTTAAGTCTCACAAAAATATATAAAAAATACAAACACAATGTACTAATGTTGATAAAATTCTAAGGTCAACAAAGTCAATTTGGGGCTAAGCCCCCTTAGACCCCCTGGTTACGCCACTAAACGCAACACTTTTAGCCACCACTATCTCAACATAACAATTAACACACTGATCCATCAATGAATCTCGTCTAACAGTTCTGATGGCCAGGTATAACTGAAACTAGAAACTAAAGTAGATTATAATATAATTTGTAGGTAGTTGTAACCTCTCACTATTAATAATTATAATAATTAATATATATAATTTATTATAATATTAATATTTTTTTTTTGTTCAAATAGGAAAAATGTTGCTGTTTTTTTCAATTTGTTCTTTTTTTACAGGATTTATTTACATCAAAGTACATAAAAATTATTGAATAAATTATGTACATAATTATCTGTATTTGAACAAGTGGAAGTATGATTACATTTTATTAAAGTTTATCTAAATACAAAATGGTACACATTTTAATCTAATTACATTGTTAATTAAATCTTGGTGTTATTCGGTATAGTTCATAAAAAAAATGTTATTAAAAGGTTGTTAAATTACTACTAGTCTAAAAACTAATTGGTGTCTTGTGTACAACTCTTATGAATGAATCACTATAACAAATGAAAAATGAACATGTTTTAAATAAATAAAATTAAATAATACGCGATTGTTAAAAATTAGGTATAATTTGTTACACAATGATGACACTCAGAATCTAAATACAATCAAATTGTATGCCCCCCCACCCACTTATCCAAAATCATTTAAAATATATTTATTTACTATTTTAGATATAAAAAATACTTTCAACTTGTACTGTAAGTAATTCATATTATTATGCATACCACTTCCTTCCCACCTTCCAAATTTTCAAATAGTTGTAACAACTACTAGATATATAAAAATGCTGTAATATACTGTTTTTATATACATATTATAAATCAACTATGTATTTGATGTATGAAAATATTGAAAGCATGTCCATAATATCAAATATTTGTAATTATTTGTTTCAGTCTACCGTGAAATCAGTTGAAAACAACATAAATCACATGTTGCAACATCAACACCATGTCCGCAGTCAAGAAAATCGTGATTATAATTTATTAGTTGATAACAAAACATATGTGAACAGATGGTCTATAATGCAAATTTTGTTAATAATGGGAACAACAACTTTACAAGTTTATTTTGTTCGTAAATTGTTTGAAACTAAAACTGGAAAGTCAAAAACAAGGGCTTAAAAAAAATATCATATTTGTGTGTGTATTATATTATGTTATTTTATTATTATGTCATTCCTTTCTGTTTTCTAAGAATAATGTATCTTTTTATAAAGTAATAACATAAAATTATAATCTGTGATTAATAAAAATGGTAAAATAGAAGTTTAACTTTGTTAAATATATATTTTTCAATATTATTATTTATAACCACAAGATTTTTATAATGAAATTGGTAAAAACTAATATTGAATTATTATTAATATTTTTAAACATGTTAAGTATTTATAAAATTAATGTATAAGAATTACTGATTAGAAATAAAGTAACAACCAGAACATATTATTTAAAATAGTATCAAAAAAGAACAAAATACATTTCTATAGTTGTTGGCACTAACATTCAAATAAGAATTATTGATAATTTTGAATGACTGATATCGTTGAAGAGCAATGATTTACAGTGTATAGGTACTTTAAAATAGGTTTAAATAATTATACATTTAACCAAGTAATATATTTCAATAAACTGCTATCAATTAAATATTAGTTACCTAAAATTTTAATATTCAGATACAAAGCATTCGAAAAGAAATCAAATATTTGATTGATATCAATAAATAGATAAATTGAATAGACATTCGACATAATTTTGATATGAAATTTAGAATAATAGGTTTCCTAAGCGACTAAAATTTCAAAAAAAAGTTGAAAATACTTAAAATAAAATCTGATATTATTGATGGTATCCATCATAATACATTTTATTTTTTTATTTTTGTATAATATAGGTACTTAAGTTTCTTCCTCAAAATTTAAGAAAATTGTATTTCTCATTTATTATTGTTAATGAAAAAAAAAAAAATTTACATACCTATTATTTATTTTTTATATTTTGTTTCACTTCATTCTTTGTGTTAATTTTTTGATTTATTATCACCATAAATATTATTGTGGCTTCCATTGGATTCTTTGTCGTCCGACAAGCTGTTCTGTGTCTCGGCCCTCTCACTAAAATCATTATATTCTGCAAAGTCTTCCACGTCCTCTGTAGCCGGTATTACTTCGTCGTCATAATAGGTCGTCCACTTCTTTGTTTTGTACCCTTTATCGACATTTTCAAAACTATCATAGTGTGATGACTGTTTTGTTAACCGTGATAATGATTGTTTGGAAAAAGTCAACTTCTTCGGTTCAACATTAAATTCCATGTTGTAAGTAAGTGGTTCATCGTTGATTGTCCATGATTCCTCGCTCTCCTCTTGTGGAGTAGCAGGTGTAGCTAAGGACCGGTCATTGACCACCTGACTTTGTATTGACTTAGTGTATGATTGTTTTACTAAAGGAGGGAACATTTTGCCTTTGCATTTATACATGTTTATTTTCTCACTTATGTCTTGTTTCCTTTTTAACAATGTATCATATGTTTGTTTAATGGTATTGAGTTCTGTAGTAAATGATGATTCCATTGTTAACCTTTGAAGTTTTAACTGTGAATTAGAAAATAAATATTTATTATAAGATGGGTTAGTAATTTGGTATAATATAAAACTTATTGTTGGTTTTTGATTATTATGTTCTAAATTGTAATGTTCTATGTAAGAATACAGGGTGACTCTTTTAAAATAAATAGTATGTAAACATTCATTAGGTATCTCAGAAAGTATTAAAAATATTTTCAAAAATGTTAATAATTTTCATGATAGTGATTTTTTTCCATTTTAAGTATTATAACGGGACCATAAACCTATAAGCTTGTTTATAGGTCTGTAAATGAGACTAACATTTTAATTAACTAATAATCTTGATACCATAAGACGATAATTAAATTACTAAAAAAAACTACTTATTAGAAAAAAAAATATTTACATTAATTTTTTTTTGTTCCATCAAACACTGTCTAATTTTATTTATGTTTCCACAAACATCTCTTAAGGTTTTTATTTTGAAAGTATTCCATTTTAATAAATCAATTATTAACTCTGTTTGAGAGCTGATTTTATTCTGAAATAAAAACAATTCCTAAAATAGTAGGTACACATTACATAGGTAGGTAGTATTTATATATAAAACGGATGTTTCTATATACTAAATTATAATATTGTAATATACTAATATGTATAGGTACTTCTAATAGTCTTATTTCTCGAACAAAACGTTCTTTTGTGTCTTTGGCCTTGGACTTAGATTTAATAATCATATAGTTGATTATAGTCATTTCCATTTCGTCTAAAAAATTCCAATCCGTTTCAATTTTAAATTTCTTTATCATTTCATCCTTAATTGCTATTTTATAACTTTTTAGTATGTTCTCCATCTTCGTTATTTCTGTACGAAACTGTTTAGCAACTACCTTTTCATTTTTGAATGTATATATTATCTCTTTTTCTTCTTTTTTTAACTCCATCACTCTATTTGTTAGATCTTGCATAACATTTCCATATAATAAAATACAACTTTTCAATAATTTAGCTTTGGTCATTTGAGATTTATTCAATACAATTGTGGTTTTAACATCATTTAGTTTCAATTGTTTTTTTATCTGTTATTCAAACAAATATAGTCGGTTTATAAAAAATCAATTAATAAGCCGTTATAAATAGGAAGTTAAACAAATTATTTTGAAAATCGATTAAAATCAACTCCTGTACCTGCAGAACTACAGTGCACAAATCGCTCCCTTAAAACTTAAAAGAATAGTTATCTACGCAAACGCAACAACTCAAATATTTATATTTTGTGAAATTATTATTATAGAAATAGGTAGGTACTGTAATATAAAATTTCATTATTTGTACTTGGAATAAAATTGTTTAATAAGCAATAATAATAGTGACACTGCTATAATTTTACATTATCCTTGCTGCCTACTAGAATAATGTGTTGGAACCTTAACAATTAAATCAATAAGGTTTACAATAGTTGAACTCCGGTTAAACCACCGAATTCGGCCGGTAAAATCAGTGGTTCAAGCGTAACCGTGGTTTAAACTATGATTGTAAAACGGGCCCTTAGTCATATAAAAATAAAATTAATACAAACTAATTATAATATTAGTTAGGTATACCACCAAATTTTTCAATAATAGAATATAAATATTAATTTTGATACCTACTTAATTATTATCGTCACGGGTTTAACATAATTTGAACAATTTTACTAGGTATTCTACTTTGTAGTTCTCTGTGTCACCGAGGTGGTACCTACCTATTATTTCAAGTTTCTGGGGAGCAAATGTGCGGCTAATGAGCTTATATTTAACTATTTAAGGTATTAAATATTAATACTACCCAAAATATAAACCTAATAGTTATTATTATAGTAAAATTCTAACCCGGTATGCTTCTAGTTCATTTATATTTTGTTTTAATTCATTTTCAATGGCATCAAATTCTTCATAAGTTGAACTTAAACGTGTATTAAGAACATCCATTTTTTTTTTATTATCGTCTATGGTTTGTTCAATTTCATATCGTTTTGACCTCAACTCTAATGTAATGTTAAATAATTTTGGATCGCAGCCCAATGGTAATACTTTTTCGTCAAACACCACTACTCGACTCATTGCCGTAAATGATTCTGCACTTTCATTTATAAATTCTGGATCAGATTCGTCACTTCCGTCGGATGAAGACGATGAAAGTGTATCTAAAACATGAATAGGTACCTACAGTGGGGTAGTATATAGGGCGAGGCCCCTTAGGCCAGAGCAAACAATGAAATTGCAGGTTCAATTAATGCATTGCTTGTATAATGTATATCTACACTGTTTACAGTTTTTCACCATGATTAAAATCGGTTTTGAGGCATCAACAAGGAAGTGTTAAATTGTCAGGAATTGCTTTGATGACTTTGATGTTAAATTCATAGTAAGATAACATTAACATATATATTATATATATATGAAACTGTCAATGTTTTTTTTAAAATTAATTTTATATAATACCTAATTAAAAAATTTAATTGAGCAATTTTTAATAGTATTTTAGGTAGGTACATGTCATAGTAATTATAACCTCCCATATCTTTATGTTAGTTGTGCTATCCTTGACTAGTGATAAATTGGCCTATCGTGAAAATAATTCCTATACAGGGTGTTTCTGAAATGGATGAGGTATCTAGTATATGCGTACTCAGTGAGATGGCCCAATGAAGATTTTTTTGAAATTTTTTTTCTATCTTCAAAATCTGGGTTTAAACAAATTATTTTTAGAACATTATCTTAAATGTAAAAATAAATGGTCAAGTTGCATTTTGTGCAAGATTCTCATACGAATCGAGGTGTCACATAATTTTCACGCTTGTTGCGCGTTTTTCAAGCTCGAATCATCAACTAAAAAAAAATCGATTTGTTCGAGAACACTTCAAGATAAACAGTGGTGATAGTTATTTGTTGTTATTTAAAATACATGATTAATTAACACATTATTTTACATTGTCAACTAATAACATTGATAAAATAGTAACAAAATTAGGGTTAACAAAGTTTTAAATGATCGTGTTTACTGACATACATTTAAGTTGTGTTAGTGTGTTACATTGTAAAATAATCATAATTAAATACATTTTATTTTGAAAACCTATTTTTATCTACAGTTGTTCAATGTGCAACAATGCACTTGTCCATCCGACGATGTAATGAACTCCCAAGTTTTTTCCAACAAATTTGGTGTTTAACGAATGATATCAGCTACTTTTTTTTCAGCTATTAATTTTCATAAAAAGTTCATCTCTATTATTTAATTCTTTGTCATAAACATGTTATTTCTGCATTTCCAATGTTAGTGTACTCCATTGTTCAAAAAACAAATTATAGTATTGTTCAATATTATCAAGTATTGAACTCGGCTATAATCAAATTAACTAATGTTCTTTATGTAAAAATTATGGTAAATTAGTTATTTTAAAATAGATACTAAGGATAAAAGTTACCACATTTTATTACGTGTACATCTAAATCACACAAATCAATGTAATGTGGGTAAATTCGATCATTTAAAACTTTGTTAACCCTAATTTTGTTATTATTTTATCATTTTTATTAGTTGACAATGTAAAATAATGCGTTAATTAATCATGTACAGTCAACTCGCGATATAACGAATATCGATATAACAAAAATCTTGATATAACGAATAAAACTACCGGTCCCTTGAAAATATCGCGGTATAATATAATTTCGATGTAACGAACTTTCGATATAGGTAACGAATTTTTTTCTCGGTCCCTTGAAGTTCGTTATATCGCGAGTTGACTGTATTTTAAACAACAAGAAATAACTATCACCACTGTTTATCTTGTAGTGTTCTCACACAAAACGATGTGCCACACCATTTTTTTTTTTAGTCGGCGATTTGACAGTGAATAAGGCGCGACAAGCGCAAAAATGATGTGACACCTCGATTCGTATGAGAATTTTGCAAAAAATACAACTTGATAATTTATTTTTACATTTAAGATAATGTTTTAAAAATAATATGCATAAAACCATGATTTTTAAGATGGAAAAAAAATTTCAAAACAATCTTCTTTGGCCATCACACTAAGTACGCATACCTATACTAGATACCTCATCCATTTCATAAACACCCTGTATACGCCACTGAATAGGTATTTTCCATCAACATACATTTTTTATGCAAAATATATCATTTTTTTAAGTAACTATTTTTAAACTAAAATAAATGAAAATTATTAAATTTATTAAATGTATATAATAATCATAATGTACCATCGGCATCATCAGATTTCAGTTTAGGTACTTTCAATTTCTTTTTAAAAATTTTTTTAAGATGTTTAGCAAACCCATCATTCCTAATTTCCATATCAAAAGTATGTTGAATGTCTATTAGCATATTTGTTTTGGTATTAATAATATCGTTCAAATATTTGATTTCTTCCCGAATGCATTGTATCTAGAAGTATTAAATTGTATAGTTAGCATATTTTAATTGGTAGCAGTTTATTAAAATCAATTACTTGGTTGACTTTATCGTTTTGTAAACCTGTTTTAATATATACACTATATTCATCTTCAACTAAATCAAAATCATTCAAAATTATCAATTCTTCTTCAAATGTTAAAGCCAATAAATCAAGAAATTTAATTCGGAGCTTAACATCTTTTCGAATTTTATCCAATTCCATTAAATCGTCATCAAACATATTGATTTTTGTTAACATAGTTTCATGCAAATGCATGTGTCTATATTTCAATTGTTCTTTTCTCATATTTTGCATAATGATTTCTAAATGAGTAAGTTCGTGACTATTTCCGGGCTTTAAAATCAAATCTGTCGGATCCCAATGACCAATAGGTTCAAATGGATCAATTAAGCTAGGCTGAAACATAATTAGATGAAAAATAAGAAATAAGATACCTACCAATTTCATTTATAAACATAGGTAAAAAAAAATGTAATTCACTTTATACTATATTATTATAGTAATGTTTAAACTATATAATATTATTTTATTTATTTATTTTATTTTATAAATAGTACGGGCTGGTAGCATAATGGTTACATTACAATGATAACATTTACATAAATAAATTACCTAATAATAAATAAAAAAAATTAACATGATAGTAGGAATACCTATGTAGAAGGTTATGAAGAAGAGAAGTTTTACATTTTGCTACATTGGCAATCTGCATCATCCTCGTAAGAGGCCAGTGCCGAGTTATTCATTAGGAAAAGTAGTCAGTAGGTACCCACTTAGGGATCCTGGGAAAATAGAAAACCGGTTTTTTTGTAGTAGAAAATATTTTTTTGGTTTTTGTCAAGTTTATTGTATATTATAATATTATCCGACGGCGACCAACATCATCGCCGTACCTTGCAAGATTTCATTGACTGCAGTAAATTTTTGACATTCAAATTTTTTAAGCTAAAAATTTGAATTTATTTTTTATAGTTGATTAAGAATAATCTTTTTTAATTAGTAGAAAAAATAAAAGTATTAATTCATTTTGTCTGTAAATGAATAAGAGTTTTAATGAAATAATTTAATAAACATTGTTTTATTTATTAAAATTAGTTGGTTATTATTGAAACTGATTGTTTTAATTATTATTTATTGAGTATTGAAATAAAAAATAAAAACTTAAGTAGATAATAGGGAGCTCCGAGATTTCAACTACGAAAGGGCCTTTAATCTGGCACGATAAGGCGGCTCATTAGCAACATAGATTATGGTAGGTACATAGAATGGATAGTTATTATGTGATAGAACAGAAGGGGCTATGTACCTATAATGGATTATATTAATATAGATAATGATATACAGACATACATTAGACAAAAAATAAAAATAAATGTTAACACTAGAGATGTATGGATGTTGTTATTAAGATACTTTATGTTTGAAAATAATTAGGTACCTACCTACTTCGCATATTCAAAGTTTCTAAAATAATCGTTATGAATTAAGTAGATATAACATTTACATTCTACTGTAATCTTTACACCTTAATTAACAATGATAATACATTTTATATAGTACTATACTATATTATAATATTTTATATAGTATTATATTGTTACTTACATCAATAGATTCATCCATTACAACATCGGGGAAATTTGACGGAGTCGTTATTTCTGGATCATTAAATTCCTTTTGTATCATGCAAGCATCAAACTTAAATTGTTTGTAATCATGTATTAAACTTATTTTGCGTAGTCTAAGGCTTAACACTTTTTCATTAAAAGTTGTTTTCAAATTGCATGCCTATTACATATATACATATAGGTATATTTAGATTTATAAGATATGTATTTTTAAATATTTTGAATAGGTAATGGATAATTAACCTCTTTTTTAACATTAATGTATTGTTCAAATTTATCTTCCATTGTAATAATTTCACTTTCAGTCAACTTAAAATCTGATCCAGTTTTTAAGTTCAAATAGCCAATAGTATCCCAAGCATTATCTAGTAATGCTTCTTCCTCAATATTATTATTATCTGGCTTATTGTTATACATGTTTTGAATTTTAAGAATTTCTTGATTTTCAAAATCTCTTCTAGCAGCAAACCTATCTATGGCACTCTGAATTTTCTTTGGTAAAGAAGGATATTCTTCAAGTACATTTCGAAGAAATATTTCTGATTCAGATACATTATGTATCTGATTGTGAGCTCCTTTGCTTAATACTGCCGATCCACGTCTCCTACAAATACAATAATAGCTAGTATTAATATTAATATAATAGTGGTTATATTATCAATTTGCCAGCATAGTTAATTAAAAATTATACGGACCTTACACTGTTTGAATCTTTTATTTCCTCAAGCCTTAGCAGCGTAGGTAAACATTTATTAGTTCATTAAACATTTGATTCAATTTTATGTACAATTATTGAAATTAATTACTTACGGTAGTTTTGGAAGTTTCTTAGATAAAAATTCCTCCATTAAGCTACTAAATAAATTGTCACGCATTTCGTGGTATAATGTTTTAACTTCTACATATCTCCTGTAAATATTTAATTTAAAACAAAAATAACTCATACAAAAAAAAAAATGCTTGTACAAATAATTATACATACAAAATTGCTTTAACTGCAAACTTATTAGTTACAATTGGATCGATGAAATATTTTTTCAAATACTTAAGACCTAATGAGCTCTTTTTGTAATCAAACGCTAGCTTCAAATGTAATTTATCCATTTCAGATTGTGTCTCTTTAATAAGTGAACTATTGATTCGCTCATCTAATTGAAAATAATCACCAGATAATCGCAGTGTTTCTGGTAATGACTTGTTGCTGATTAAAACTTGTTTGAACTTTTCTCTCAGACCGTATAATAAATAACTCGTCTTATCCTTTTCTTTATTAGCTAAGTTTAAAGCTTTAAGGTTTTCTTTATGAATCTTTCTCTCTTCCAAACTTAGTTTTAGGTCTTCTTTAATAATTAAAATGTCTTCTCCCTAATTTATAAAAAAATATTAACATTTTTCATTTAAGATAATTTTACAGGTAGGTAATATTAATATGTTAGGTATTTACATCAAATACAGGGGACTGAGGCAATTCAGAAACAGAAATCATACACATCTCTATGACCTTATTATCACATTGAAACATAAAACTAAAAATATTCCCATCATCACCACATGTGTATAACATACAGTTATCGTGACTGAAACACAACATATTTACTCTTCCTTTTTTGTTATCGTGAATCGAATATTCAATATAGTCACCAAAATCTGATACATTATTGAGTTGAACATTTGTAAGGCGTATTTTACCATCAGCAAATCCCATTAAAATGATTAATGGATCAGTCCCACTTGAAATCATAATGAGTTAAATATTAGAATATGAAAAGTCAGTTAGGTATATCACAAGTTGAAAACACTAGCTATGTATTTGTGTGATGATTAGAAAATGTTACAAAAAGTAATAGGATTTATTAGGGTAATTTAAAAAATATATAGTGTATTTGTGTGTATAATATTACTACCTATATTGTTTATAAATAGGAACATACCTATATTACCTATGTAATAGTTCATACTCTTTGTGTATTATTAAGTATTATACATTTATAACTGGGATGTTGAAAGGGATGCAAGAGTGTAATAAAAAATTCTGCAACTCAAGATTTAAATTTCTTATTGATCGGGAAACACTGTAAGTAAGTAAGTATAAAGGATGTAACGGGAAGACCTGACAAATGAAATAACTTTTGTACTAATAAATATTTTTTATTTTTTTTGCTATATTATAATTTATTGACTCATGGGCTCATGGAATTATAATATAAGATTCTTATTATATTTTTTTTTAATAACCAAAATATAAAATGTATGTCTTATTTACAATTTTTTGGAAATTTTAAAATAATCAAATTTGTTAATCTTGGTTTAGAAAACTTTTGAACAATTGTGTTATTTTTTGATAACAGCGTTTAATTTTATGCTAGATAAGGGAAATAAAATTCTGCTTCCACAACAATATTTTTTGGAATGTTTTGAAAGTTTTGTTATCATAAAAAATGTGTTATCTCTTATCAATAAGCCTTGTGATACAACCATAATTTAATAAGAAAAATCCAAATTTTCAACCCCTAAATTAAGAGCTTCGAAAGTGTTACTTCAGCTTCAAAAATCAAATTATTGTTATTTTTTAGTGATTTCCTAATGTGTGGTTAGTGTTAATCGTTAAGTAGAATTAGGAAATAATATTATTTAAATTTTTTAGGGTTGTTGTTATTTTCCGTAAAAATAAGTGGGTTACTTCGAACATGGGTACTTAGGTCCCTATATTACATTTAACCGACATTTTTCGAAATTTTTTTTTTTTTGTATAAAAAGTTTAGTTATAAAAAATATGTTGGTTAAATTTATTTTAGGAGCAAAGACTGCAACTTACAAAAAAAAGTATTATTTGGTAATAAATAGGTACCTAGTTGTAAAAATAATGTTAATTAGTAAAAAATCTGGTTTTTAACACTTTTTTTTTAAATAATTGTAGCATTCCAAGTGACCTTCCACAAATGATTAAATAATAAATGCAATCTGCATTTGAAAAAACGCATGTTCCAAGTCACCCAAAAATCCGAGTGACTTGGAACAAGCACTTTTTATTTTTTTTTACCTTAATACCTTTATTTTATTTTTTTTTGCTCAATTTATTCCTTGGAGGAATGCGACACTGCATGATTTTTTACAGAATTTAATTATCAATAATGAATGTGTTACACACTTACAGTAGTTAAAAGGTGAAAATCGTTCCAAGTCACCAGGGTTGACGGTACTATTTATTGATTTTCAATATTAAAAAATAATAAAGTGGATGTTGATCTGCTGTACAGTAGGTTAAAAGTAGGTCACTGTAAACTGTAAAGGATGGTGTTAAATTTGAATTCAATGATATACTATCCTTATATACGAAAAATGATTTTGGGCGATACGGTTAGTCAGCTTATGATATACTAATATAAGTATATTTGATGAATTTATTGTGAATAAACTATAAAGTAATTTATTTCCTTATTTAAGTCGAACCTTGTTTTAAATTTTCAATCCTTATTCCTTTTCTATAAAAGTTGAACATTTTATACATTTTTAACTACAAAATCATTTTTAAATTTTAAATTTGATCATTTTGTCAAAATTCGAATTTTAAATGCATATAAAAAAAATGTGCGCCTATATATTTTTAATATTTTTCAACTGCTATTGTAAAAATATATCAGGAACCTTGTATTAAATTTTCAAGCTTTTTAACCCAGTGAATAACCCATGTATAGAAAAAAACTACAAAAATTGGAAACTTAAAATGTCTATAAACCGCTCAAAACAAGTTAATATATTTTGAAAAGTTTAAATGCTAATATAAACATTCAGTGAAAATGGCATGTACCTACGGTTATTTGTTTTAGAGTTACACCAAAAACCGTAAATATTCCCGTTTTTCTTAATTTTAATTTTGTTTTTTCCTGCGCTTTTGAAAACTATTGGGAAATTGGAATATTGAATTTTGACCTCCCGAATGCATCAACTAGTTTCACTTTCCCATCAAACATAATACTGTTGAAGAAAATCTAAGCAGTTTTACTGCCCCCAACAGTGACGACAGATACAAAAAAAAAATTTAAAAAAAAAACATACATCATTGTAAAACCAATACATTCGTCGCTCCGCTCAGAATCTAAAATGTTATACTAGGTATAATGCGTGTAACGCAAGCGTCTTTAAATTGTACCTATATATAAAAAAAATTGATTTGTAGTAAAGTTATTTCATTTGTCATTTATTCCTGTTAAGCCAGTATAGAGAACTCACAGAATATATTATTATTATGCTGTTATTATTTAGGTACCTACCTACCTGTTATATAGTACTATTATAGACAGTCTACACTCTACAGTATAGGTACATGCATAGTAGGTATTAGTATTTAGTATACATACTATACTACCTATAATGTCCTATATACTTACAACATTGTAATCGCAGTTAGTGGAGTATTATTTTTATATGGTATTAATATGTGTGAATTCATTACTGGTCTAGACGTGTTAAAATCATATTCATATAAATAACCAGCATCATATCCATCAATCGACACCCATATACCTTTCTCCGATGGAGTGTAAATTGCAAACAATACGGGGTTCGGTAATGGGGGGATATAGATTTTTGGCGGTTCTTCGTCTCCTTCTGCAGAATCTTCAAAATACAAAACTTCATCGATTTCTACATCGGGATTTTCTCCTCTGATAATTTTCAACTTCTCCACTTTTTTGTTGATTGTATCATTTTTTTTGCGCTCTAAATCGAAAAAATATCGTTGGCGACGTATTTCTGACTTGACGCTCATCGTTTGTATTACACGCGATTCAAGTTTCAACAAAAATGATTCTGTAGTGTACGAAGGACGAGTTGTAGGGACTTTCACTTCTACAATATGCCCACTAGCGCAACTTATTAATGCCATTTGTTCCTGAAAACAATGAAAAATTCACAAACTATGGTGATCATAGGGATTACTATCCCGGTAAACGAATAAAAATATTCTTACTTCTGAAGATTTTCTCCAATGAATAAAAGTGATTTTTTCAGTTAATGGAAACATTTCAATAGTATACTCAAGACTCAACTATGATTTCTATTTGGCTGTGCAATTGTAGGGAAACGCGTTTTTTAAATAATAGTTATTAGGTATAGTGTTTGAAGTATGAAATATTTCACTATATGGTGAAATATATCACAAAAACGTGAAACATTGAATTTTTTTTTAACACGAATAAAAACACAATTTTTTTTTTTTTTAACACAATGTTCAGTGTTCTAAATTCTAATGTCAGAATTCAGTAGGTATACAATATACATGTATAATATTGTATCATTTAAAAATTAATATATTTAAAAATTTTGAATACCATTTTAAATGTATAATGTCAAAGGTTAGGTATACATACTGCAGGTACCATACAGTTATGAAGGTAATTTATGACAATTATATGTAAATATAAAACTTATTTAAAAATAAAACAAAATTTATTAAAATACTGAAATATTTCACACATTTTAAAATATTTCATTTTTTTAAAGTTCATGAAATTTTCAAACACTAATTAGGTACGTATTAGGTACAGGGGCGTAGCGTGCATGTAAGCACTGTAAGCACTGCTTACACTTTAAATGAAAGAAAAAATAAATTTGATCAATCACGACTAATAGGTACATAATAAATGATTTTTAAAATTTTAATTTTATTTATAAAATTTTTAAGTTATAGCTTATAGTGGTTTTTGTTATTGTTTATTTGTGTCGTACACTGTCTACTGATTACCAACTATTTTAAGAAAATCATCGATTGTAGGTCTATTTTTAATCCATTCTGTATTATGTTAACTGCATAATCATAATACTATATACAGTGTAACACATTCTGAAATTGCTTACGCGCAACTGTTGTTTTCGAATAGTCTATAATGCCATAGTGGGGGTCACGTATTTAACTAGCGTTTGTAAGCACATTTGATTTTGCTTACGCGAGAAACAAGGAACGACCAGTACGTAGCCCGACGCGTTGTAGACTGTAGTCGTTTTTACGTACACTGTCACTGTCATTCGCCTAATAGACTTTTGAAGTATTCTTCAATTTCTTTATTTTCTCGAATTTGATTTGTACAACTAGTATATTTTTAAAAATATTAAACATTTTAAAAGGATAACATTTTTTTATACATAATTTATAATTAGGTATTTAGGTATAACTATAGTACCTATATTCTAATCACTTTTGAAAAAAAAATTTCACTGCTTACATCTTTTTAATACCCACGCCACGCCACTGATTAGGTACGTAGGTACCTTCAAAGCTCAAGCAAAACCTACTGCATATATGATCTTTGAATACATTTATAACTTATATAATATGGTCTTTAATCTTTATTAATCTATTTAGCTATTTTATATTGCATAATCTACGTGAAAGTTAAAAATATGTGCCATTAATTAAGATCGTATTAATTACAGTCAGCTTTTAAGGAAATATAATTGAAGACTTTTTTGAGAACCTTTTTTTGTGATCAATGTATATTATTCTATTTTTGGGGACATTTGGGTTTAGAATCCTTTTTACACGTGCGTGTTATGCCGTTATGGATTCATTATTAATTTCCATCATATTATACAAATAATTTTTGTGTGGGTATTAATTAAAATAATTAAAAGTACTCATAGTTTCTTTTCAGTAAAACTTTATAGATTTTTATACTTTTTAAACTTTGATTCATTGGAGAATTTTATACTATATAGTAAATATTTTGTGATTTAAATGCATTT